ATATACATATATATTGTTCCCATTATTTTTCACACTTACTATTATATATTTTAATTATAGAAGTATTTTGTATTATTAATAAAACTAACCTAAATTCCCTGAGCCGATTGCCAGTTGCTCCCGGTTGCTCAGCGGTACGGTAGTGGACTTATAACACTAAAAATTGGGTTTCAACACCCGCAGTGGGAAGAGCACAGATAGACCATTGAGTAGTTTTATGCTTTACAAGAAATAACTAAACATAAGCTGACCAAACCTCATGCGATGTTACTGGAATTACGGACGAAAGTATAGTTAACAGTATGGGTACCAAAAACGAATCGATGAATTCTGATCACTACAAGTAAAGCTGATGTATTAAATTAGTTATATTCATTACAGGATTAGTTTTAACCTGTGAAGATAGCTTGCTTTGATCAGAAGTTAATAATAATAAGTGTAAACTTTCCGCTAATTTCATATATATGTAATGTCAATTATACCGTTGCACGGTTGTTATAGTGACAGTAGTGTTGTTTAATGATTTAAAATGAATTATTTGATATTAAAGTATTAGTAAATACACTTACACCTAAATGTAACTATTACGTTTAACTTATTTGACTCGTGAACCGAATATTTCGACATTATATTATATTATTACTGTTAGTCTATCCACATATTACATGGACATAAAAAATAAATATTTAATGTTCCCCCAAAATTCTTACAGATATATGTCAGTCCAGCACTGAATGTGGTTTACATAACGCAATGGATAGATATTTTATAACACGTAGTGACTAGTTCTTACCAAAACACAGTAAGAGCCATTCTTCTGGAGAGTGGCGACACCTAGCGGTTATAGATAAAGCTAGTGATACCTTACAGTATTTATTGAAGTTGAGTACTGCGCACAACATCCAATATTCCGTAGTAGAGCGAAAGTGGACTTACATCAGGGTGTGTTGAACCTAGTGTATTTTTCTTCCTATATTCCTACTCCGATTTTTACAAGGAACAGGAAAAACGAACGCTGTATTTTTCAATGTCCATTTATAGGCAAAGTTTGTTTGAAGTATGAGACCACTGACCGTAGTGTCAAACTATATATGTTTGTTTTGCCAGTGTCAACAGATTACGCGTTTTATTGAATGATATATATACATTAGTGTTCGTTTGTGCATTGGTCAAGAAGAAGAATGCTAAAACAGAACGGAATAGTTGAAGAACACGTACAAAGCATCCCTCGCACGTATGATGTGACATGTTCTTAAATATACAAGTTGCATAACCATAACACATTTAATAAATTACTCAGAATGTTGTCAAATGTGCACTAAAATATTTTCAGAATGAATACAATGTATGGGTTTGGTTTGTTTTGAATTTCGCACAAAGCTACACGAGGGCTATCTCCGCGAGCCCGTCCATAATTTAACAGTGAAAGACAAAAAGGAAAGCAGGTAGTCATCACTACCCACCGCCAAATCTTGGGCTACTTTTTTATTTATGAATAGTGAGATTGATCATCACATTATAACGCCCCCACAGTTGAGAGAGCGAGCATGTTTGGTGGGTAGAGATTCGAACCCACGACCTACAGATTGAGAGTCGAGTGCCCTAACCACCTGGTCATGCCAGGCTTACAATGTATAAGTAAATTAGTACACACTGCATCAATGGAAATCTCGGAAACTCATTTTCTAAATAATTTTGCCCTTACAGTGTATTACCAATATGTTAGTGGTAAGCTCCGGACGTAAAATTCGGGGTTGGATTTCCCACGGTGGACAGAGAGCAGATAGTCAAATGTGTAGTTTTGCGCTAAAAACAAGTTTTCGGT